GAGAGAGAGAGAGAAGAGAGAGATTCGAACGGAGAAATGCGTTGCGTGAAAGAAAATTTCATTTCAAGATAATATTATGCGCGAATGGACTAGAAAGTGCTAACCAATAATCATTACGTTTGAATTATATTCTCGAGATGAAAAGAAAAGAAACTCATGAATAATTCAACTCGTTTCGAATAGTGCGTGCAAAGATGAAAAAAAGGGGGGAAAAAAAAAAAAAAAAAAAAAAAATGTACACGTTAGAAAATCTAGAGCAAGGTAATAATTCGACTTGAAGTAGCGAGGTAGAAATGAATTTATTTGCAAATATCAAATAACTGACTTTATCGTTGAACAGATTAAAATTAAACTTTTATTCACTGCGGTAGAATTACACTCATCCTACAGCAATAGTAGACTAACAACGAACAAAAGTCAATTTATTTATTTATTATTTTTCTATAAAACGCCAACATCTATGAAAAAAATTTGTAAGCATTAATAATTGAAAAATAAAACGATAAATCGCATTAAAAATTATTATCGATCTCGCTAATAAAACGGGAAGCGTGAACACTCGGTGTTGTAATATGATACAAATTGACATTATATTTCTATTTTCGATGCGATATCACCATGATGGATATCACCCATATCTATTTTCATTGTACAAATATTGATCCATATGCGGCACCGCGTACCGCATCTATACGTCTACAAGATAAGGGAAATCCGTGTGCAAAGATAGTAGTGTAACAGATGCAGTGTCACAGAAAAAATATGGACACCTGATCAAGAAGGAATAATAGAATGGAACGTACATGATGCATACGACTTCTAGGCAGTGGAGAACTAGCGGCTATCGCGCTCATACTGGAGGCACAATCGGACTGACTATCGAGAAAGTTTCGATAATCGTCCCCAAAGTCCAATAATCTTCGTGCCGTTTCTATATCCGGTGCTTCGCTGTATGGCTCGCTCATATATTTCTCCTATCGGAAACACACATATTACATATTAAGAATAAATCATCGGAAACGGGCAACGCAACATCTCAATCTCGAATCAATCCTTGAAAAAATTAATTTCCTGAAACAACTTCTTCTCCTCCCCCACGGGACAACAACAACCGTGTTGTTGCAAATATATCTTCTTAAAAAAAACACACACACACACAAAAGAAAAATAAAAGAGCAAAGAGTATCGTAACCGATTACCTGATAATTATCCCAAGCTTGCTCGGAGAACGAGTTGTTCCCAAGACTGTTCATCTCGATATCGCTATCCATATTCAGCTGCTGGTTGCACAGCTCCTTGTTGAGCACGGTGTCGAAGAGATTGTCGTCGAAGGGGAAACAGCCGCGGGCGCGATTACGTTGCTCCTCGCCCTCGGTCTCGGACACGGAAGCCACCGAAGTACAGCATGGTAACCTGAACGGCGGTGTCGGGTCGCTGACGATCGTCCTCTCCGCGGAGAGTTGCTGATGGGCGGTGCACCCCGAGAACGAGCCTGACTTCACGAGGGTGGTCAAACGGCCGTGACAGTCTCTCGAAATGGTGCGCATCGCCCGATTCCCGCCCATCTTTCGGGGGGATCGTTGCTGGTTCGACGAGCTGCCGTCACTTCCCGCGGAATGATTCGCGTTCACGCCTTCCAGGCTGGAGTCGCTCTTACGGCCCTGAAGAACGAACAATTTGAGGAAATTTGGAGGGAAGGGATCTCGATTCGTAAGAGATCGAAACGAGATCTTACCAGATTCTTCTTGCGCAACCTGCTCTTCTTCCTGCGCAACGAACTGTTTCGAACCATGCGCCCGTCGTGGCAAATGATCGATTCCTCCAGCAACGTGGACGTTGAATTGTTGAACGATTTCCGTGATCCTCTGTAATTTAAACACGAGTTGAGATATTCGTGGAAGAGAGAGAGAGAGAGAGAGAGAGAGAGAGGAGGAGATAGTAGACGT